GTTTGTGAGTGAGTGAGCTTAGTTTGACGCTGCTTTTTAGCAATATTCTAGCAATATAGCGGCGGGGCACACCGGAAATGGGCTTCACACTTGGACCCATAAAAGGATTCGAAACCCAAGTCTTAGCCGTGACGAGCGAACGCTTTAACCACTAGGCTACCCCCACCGCCCATCTTTAAGGTTAAAAAGCACTGAGAATTTCCTGCATCTGGTAAAAGATTAAAATCGTTGTGAACATACTCTGCTTCTATAAAGAGGGTTCTTCTAAGATCATCATAAAAAAGGGCAATATAAAATAACATGAAGTTCACTTTCCACTCCATTCTGACACATGGGACATATTCCCTCTTCTACTGGAGGCGCCCGTGAACAGCCACCTTCTCGTGGTGGGTGCTGGGTAACCTAAGCCGTTGTGGACCCGGGGGTATATTTGGTCCACCAACCCGTTTGCCGTGGGTTGCGCCCCTGTGTCGGTGTAGGACGGGAGTCTGGTGGTTGAGGGCACTGGGAGCCTGGAACCGTGTTCCTTTTGCCCAACACACCACTTCGCCCCTTACTTCACCTAGACGGGTGGTAGAACTGGCCCGATTCTATCAATTGGCTGGTCACGCCAAGCCCTGTGCTACAACTATGTACTATTGCACAAAATGTTTGAGAATGATTACATGATATGTTTAAGTCTTGCCGAATTTTTTTAACTCAAAATTTCGAATATACAATTCCATGTATGTTTTTGCCTAGAGTCGTGTGCCCAGAAGGCGGTGGCTCATGGGCCATGATCCAGTTGATAATGATCAAAGACTGTCCACGTCCATTGAATACTGGCCACGATTTCTTGCTATTGAAACTGTTGACAAGACATTAAAGTTGAACCCTTTTGCCATATCTAAGGGTATACATGGCATTGCTGGTGATGTCAAGAATATTAAACGTTTACGTTCCGGTGCTCTGTTGGTTGAGTGTGGGAAAAGGCAACAAGCCACCAACCTTATGAGTACAGAATCGTTTGTCGGCGTTCAGGTCACGGTCACGGCTCATAAAACATTAAACACGAGCAAGGGAATCATCAGAGACCGCGATCGATTGTTTGCAGATATGTCGGAACTTGACATCGTCTCTGAGATGAAAGATCAAGGCGTACTCTATGTCAAACGTTTCACAACCCGGAAAAACGATGCTGATATAAAAACCAATACTTACTTGTTTTCATTTTCTTCACCAAATGCTCCAAATCTCTTAAAGCAGGTTATTGTAACATCAATGTAGAAACGTACGTTCCGAACCCTCTAAGGTGTTTCAAATGCTAAAAATTCGGTCATGGCGTCAATACTTGCACATTGTCTGTTGTATGTGCTCACTGTGGTGAAAAGACACATACAACAGAAAATTGTGACAGTAATGTCAAAAAATGTACAAACTGTGCAGGGGATCATTCCTCTTACTCTAAAAGCTGTCCTGTTTGGAAACATCAAAGGGAGATAAATAAAATCAAATTCACCCAAAACATTAGTTTTGCAGATGCCAAAAAACTAGTTCAAAGCTCAGAGCATAAAGAGAGCTATGCTTCTATCACCAGAACACCGTCAGAAGCAACCACTAGAATAACAAACTCATCTGCATGCTGTCAGACAAACTTGACCTGGGTTAAATCTGAATCTCCTCTGATATTCTCACCTGCAATATCTACCCAAACAACAGAATCAGTTCCTAGTACGTCTCAAAGCCAATGTTAAACTTCCTCTGATCTTGATGCATCATCTCAGTCGACATCAAAGTCTAGACAGCCCCTTAAAGGCAAAGGTAAGAAGTAAGATTCTTTGAAAAAACTCAGTGGCAGAGCCCCAAAAGGGTAAGAAAACCAAATCAACTTATACAACAAATATGGATCTCTTGAGGACATGGGCGTGACCGAAACTGTTCGTTCTAGGGCGCGCAGCTTGTCGCCCATAAAAAAAGTTCGGGGAAGATCCCCAATAAATCCTCCCAAAAGATAGTTATCACAATCATATTATACAGTGGAATTGTAGAGGACTGAGGACTAATTTCAGTGAATTACAACTTTTAGTCCAGGATTTAACACCATCAGCGTTCTGTCCACAGGAGACCTATTTAAAACAGACAGATATTTTTGTCCTGCGTTCTTTCAATGCATATAATTGTTTTTCACCTCCCGGTGACAGGGCCACTGGAGGATCTTCCATCCTAGTCAAATAGAACGTTATCCATAGCCCTGTTGCACTTACTACTAATCTTGAGGCTGTTGCAGTGCGACTAACTTTGCACGTTGCGTTTACATTATGCTCTCTCTATATATCTCCGTCTTCAATGTTTCACAAAACCGATCTTCAAGCTCTATATAACCAACTCCCGAAGCCCTGTATTATTATGGGAGATTTAAATGGGCACAACCCACTCTGGGGTAGTACAAATACAAACGCTAAAGGTAAATTACGAGAAGAGTTTTGTTCAGATAATGATTTATGTATTTATAATGATGGTTCCAACACATATTTACACCCTGGTACAGGAACCTATTCTGCTCTGGACTTGTCAGTCACAAATTCAGACCTATTAAATCAATTTGAATGGTCAGTCCACGACGACCTCTGTGGAAGTGACCATTTTCCTACTATACTAAAACCTGTAACTCCTTCTGATGTACCTACATCATCAAGGCGGAATTTGATAAAGGCTAACTGGGCTTTATATGAAACACTGTGTGCTGAAAAACTTAAACCTGAACTTTTTATTGATGTTCCTGATGCTATCAACTGTTTTTCTAATGAACTGAATACCATAGCTGATGAGTGTATACCACAGTCCTCTGCAATTCCACATATCCGAAAACCATGCTTCAACGATGAGTGCAAACAAGCTAGGAAGGCAAGGAAAAAAGCAGAACATAATTTCCGTCGCCATCCTATGGTGCATAATTTAGTGTTAAATGCTAAAGCGCGGCGTACCTTTAAACAGAATAAACGCCAATCTTGGCAAAGTTATGTATCCAAAATAAGTTCTCGAACGCCTATGTCCAAAGTATGGAACATGGTCCAGAAAATTAAAGGTTAAGGTATTAAATCTAGTGTCCATCATCTTAAACATGGAGATCAATTACTTACTAAGAAATCAGATATTGCGAATAAACTTGGTGAAACTCTCGCTAAACACTCTTCCTCTACTAATTATGTGCCTAAATTCTAAATTTTGGAACAAGTTATTTTGCAAGTTACGTTTACATAACGGAAGATATCCAACTTCAATTGGCTCAGTTAATAATGATATCTGACGACCTATTTGAGTGTTGAATTTCAAAACTTTATATCAACTATGGAAGTACTGGAAGTACCTTTTGTTATTTAAACGTAACTTGCACAAAACCGTGTTCCAAAAGTTCGGTTGAGGGACTATAGTTGCTATTATTTGAAAGCTATTGCAAGAGTGTACACCTTCGTCACTATGCAATTATATACCCTTTCAAAGCTGATGTAAAACAATTTGTGATATGCAAACTATATATTTGTAATATATATTTGTGGGTGCGCGTCTAATGAAGCATGGATCTCAATATGGTGAATATGGTATTTTGACTCACTCAATAAATTCCTCAAACAATACATGTGTATAATATCGTGAATATACTTTACCTACAACCACAACAGATGTATGCATTTACATTCATTTGCTGTTGTATTACAGTTCTTTTCATGTGATTTGCATGAATTGCTTCTAGTCTGCCAACATTTGTAATGACAGTCTTGTGGATGTCATCAATTTGATAAGGAAATATCAGTAGTTATTGTTACAGTTTGCACTGGTGGTTATCGACAAACAATACCAAACAAATGGAGAGTCATGATCAAAGGTACATGGAGTGCTGCTATTAAAGGTACATGGAGCACTATGATCAAAGGTACATGGAATGCCATGATCAAAGGTACATGGAGTACCATGACCAAACGTACATGGAGCACTATGATCAAAGGTACATGGAATGCCATGATCAAAGGTACATGGAGTACCATGACCAAAGGTACATGGAGTGATATGATCAAAGGTACATGGGGTGCCACAATCAAAAGTATATAGAATGCTATGACCAAAGGTACATGGAGTACCACTGTTAAAGGTATATGGAGTACCATGATCAAAAGTACATGGAGTACCATGATCAAAGGTACATGGAGCGCAATGATCAAAGGTACATGGAGTACCATGACCAAAGGTACATGGTGAGGTGAGGTGAGGTGAAATTGGGTTTATCGTCGTGCTTGAGAATATTTCGCTCATATGACGATGTGCATGTGTGTGTATGTGTATGTGCAGCTGCTTGTACTAGCCCAGACTGAAGCTGCTTTTATAGTGCTAGCCCACTGAGATACCATGCTGCAGTGAAGCATGAATACCCCAGTCAGACACATTATACTGACTCCGAGCCGACCAGTCCTTGTTGTACTCATTAATGCCGAGCGCCGAAAGGTACATGGAGTGCCATGATCAAAGGTATGTGGAGTGCCATGACCAAAGGTACACGGAGCGCCATGAACAAAGTGAGTGATTGAGTGAGTTTAGTATTACGCCGCACTCAGCAATATTCCAGCTATATGGCGGCGGTCTGTAAATAATCGAGTCTGGACCAGACAATCCAGTGATCAACAGCATGAGCATCGATCTGCGTAATTGGGAGCCGATGACATGTGTCAAACAAGTCAGCGAGCCTGACCCTCCGATCCTGTTAGTCGCCTCTTACGACAAGCATGGGTTACTAAAGATCAATATTCTAACCCGGACCTTCACGGGTAATGAACAAAGGTATATGGAGTGCCTATCTCTGCAGAGCAAATTGTGATCTTAACATCCTGTGTTTTTCACAGGAATGGAATCTCAATTTACTAAACTTGTGTGATAAAGAAGGCCAGATTTGTCATATAATGACAAGAGTTACCTCTCTTGGTACCTCAACCAAGACATGAACTCTTAGGTTTGAAAAAACAAAACAAAGATGTACAATAATTTCTTTATCATAAATAGTGGCATATGTGACATAGAAACTGAAAGGGTTATCTGTACAAACCTCTGTTAGAATTCTGACTGTACTCTTCTTTCATTTGTTTTTTGGTAATATAACTTTGATAAAGTGTTAACATGTAAGTAAGTACATGTACAAATATGAGAAATAATTCATTTCCATATTTACAAAGTCATATCTTATCAACACAGATGTTTTCATATGTAGAGACTAAAAAGGACTAACTGCTTGTAAATAGAGCAGGAATTTATTTAGGATTTCAAACAAATTGGCTTTTGGGAAGAAAACAACCATTATTTTGTAAAACTGTTTTTTGAATTCTTATTTCAACTGTTTTCTGTTGAAAATTGCATTCTATTCAATGAAGTAAAATTAACTTAAACAGCATATGGGGTTACATGTCCTACTGTCAGTGAAATACACCTCTGAAAAACATAATGTTAGCTGAATTTTGTGGAATGTTTCCGGACACTAGAAAAACAAGTACCTGCCCCTCTCTAGAGAAGGGCTTTATCCACTAGGCAAAAGGACCTATTGTTTTTACACAAAGACCTAAAAAGTGTCCTGATCTGCAAACTTCCATGGAGTTATCATTCTGATTTTCAAGCTTATCTACTGTTTTAAAGCAAACTTTGTTACATTTATGAAAGTCCGACCCATGGCATCTTGAAAATCAGATTTAAACTTCTTCAACTAATTCATGTGTCTTTGTAGTTGGGAACATAGAGTAAGAACAATAAAATTAGTTCCAGTTTTTGAAATGTTGAGTCCCGCTACAAACTACATGTGTAACAAAATTATATTACATTTTGAACATAAATGATTGGGTGATGATAACAAGTGGATTTTTTGCAATATGGCTGTTGTGATATGGCCATATTGTTAATCCAATTTGAAGATCTTGATCAAATTCAGGATTATATTTATGAATATCACCAAATTTTGCAAATAAATATTTCAATTAAACACTCACTTTCTGACAATAATTATGCTTCTCAAAACAACTTGTTTTATTTATATACACTTCTATCAAAAGAACATTTTAAGAAACTATCATATCAATCTTCATCTTTAAGGTCTATTTTGTTATTTCTCCTCTCGTTCCTTGACATATAGATACAAATTCACAAAAACAGTGAAATTATATTTAAAATATATTTAATTATATATCATGATTTTCCAGCATTTTTTCTTAAATGGGGATAACCATCAACTGTTAGTTTTATCCCTTCATCAAGGGAGACAACTGGCTTGTATGCCATGTCCTTCTTGGCCCGATCACAGCTGTAGAAATGATGAGTTCCTGCCAGGGCCACTCTCATCGGCGTGAAGGTTGGTTTGATCTCCAGGATGGGTTTCAAGAGCTGGCAGAAGAACTGGAGAATCACAGCAATGATGTACACCAGCATGAAGGGAATATGATATTTCGGAGCATCATAACCCAGTCCTGTCAGAATCCTTGTCAAGAAGGTCCAGAAGAATATTGGCTCATCATTTGTTATATGATACGCCTGAAAAAGCAAATTGGCACCGTGTAAGTAGTACAGACATACTTGAACTGCCTCCGTGGTATAGTGGCTAGAGCGTCTGCCCGGAGCACGGAAGGTCGCGGGTTTGATCCCCAGCCGCGTCATACCAAAAGACGTACTTGTTGGTCCCTGCCTAACGCTTGGCGTTAATGGGTACAACAAGGACTGGTCGGTTCGAAGTCAGTATAATGTGTCTCAGTGGGGTATTCATGCTTGATTCCGGCATGGTATCTCAGTGAGATAGCACTATAAAACCAGCTTATGTCTGGGCAAGTACAAGCAGCCACACATACACACACATGCATGTCGTCATATGAGCGAAATATTCTTAAGTATGAAGTTAAACCCCATTTCACCTCACAGACATACTTGGTTATACAGGGAAATCTGGTTTGTCTGGACCCTGTTTATCACAAAATCTCACTCTCTGATGGCTACTTACGTCAGATTCACTGTGACATTTGAGTGAGTGAGTGAGTTTAGTTTTACGCCGCACTAAGCAATATTCCAGCTATATGGCACCGGTCCTGTGATATTTGAGTGATTGGAGCAATACTATATGTCCAATACTCCATAACAAATATTCATCAAGTCATGTAAGAGTATGTTTTCTTTGATTGCAATATTAGTATAAATGGAGTGTTTGTAAGTTAGAAATTACTTGCATCTGTTTATTATAAAACTAGAATCAATAAGCCTTTAAGGAGCTTGTTCTGGAATCAACAGAGTTTGAGTGATTTTTCTGACTTCAATCATGTCTTCGTTGATATAAATTCATTAAAATTTTGCATGACAAATATTCCATCAGTATAACTCTTAAAATGGCTGGAATCAACTGTGAAGACAATAGTATGGCGTGTAATTGTTTACACTGTGATGGAATACCTTCCCACACACTGCAGACCCTTCCCTCAGACTCTCTGCTGCCAGAATGTGACCATGAACCACGTTTCCTACGTATGTGAAGTCAACAACATTCTTGCCATCCCTGAAACAAAACAAAACAAGACACTTTTGACATGTGTATATGTTGAAAATAGGGTATTCTGATCCTCCCAGACAAAGTCGGTTGCTTAATGCAACAGTCACCAATACACTACAGTCATATGATGGTAGTCTCTGAATAATTGAGACCAGACAATTCAATGATTCATATCAGGTGCATCAGTGTACATAATAAGGATATGATGATTTGTATCAACAAATTCCACAAGCTTAACCACCTGATCCAATAAATAGGAGCATCATGGAACCACCTTGTCAAGAAGCAAAATGCAATTTGGATATAATTATATGCATCAACCAAGTCTATTCATGAAGAAACTGGGGTTAGAATTGATCTTCAGTAACCCATGGTCGTTGTAATAGGCAACTAACGGGATTGGGTAGCCAGGCTTGACTTGTCACCATATCCTAACAGTGTAGATTGATGCTCATGATGTAAATCACTGGATTGTCTAGTCCAGTCTCGAATATTTACAGACTACTGTCTTATAACTGGAATACTGCTGAGGTAAACAATACACAAAGAAAGAAACCAACGAAAAATGCAGCAAGCTTGACCACCTGATGCTGTTAGTCACCTTGTACGACAGGAATGGGGTGCCGAAGACCAAAGAATGACTTGGTACAAGCCACATAGCACCCCAGCAATTTTTACTCGATTTCTTAAACTTTGTATTCAAATATTCAAATATTTTCTTTTTATCTGAAAGTTGGTTATTACCCTAAATACCCTGAAAACCTCAGCCCACAGAGATGCAACAGTTTAATCTGGTTACACAATCACGCAGAGGATATTGAGCCTGAGCCAACAGACCACGTTTTGGACTTCAGTGCCACATGAGAAAACAATATGTACCTTTCCCTCTCTGAAGAGAGGCTTTATCTACTAGACCGTGAAAGCATTGTCTTTACACAAAGGATAAAAGTGTCCTGACCTGCAAACCTCCACAGAGCTAGCAATTGCATTTTCAAGCATATCCACAATTGAAAGCAAATTATGTTACATTTATGAAAGTCCATGACATCCATGACATTTATGTCAGTTTGTTTAGAAACCTACCCAATGATGAACTTTGACTTCCCCCTCCTGGCCATGTCTACTGTTGTGGGAACCAGTTGAAGATCACGGGGTCCAAATATCCCATGAGGTCGGATGGCAACTGTATAGAGGTCAGCACCATTGGCCTGGAGAACTTCCTGGAAGGAACAATTATTTATACCATTAAACGGGCAAAGGACGTAGTATAACTAAGTATTATATTATGCCATGAATGAAGGGTGACGAATATATTGCAACTAAGTAGTGTATAATATCACTAATGTGTTGTGCAGAATATATTGCAGTTTAGTATTGTATACCTTTAGGTTGGGTAAAGAATATATTTCAACAAAGTAGTGTATTATACTACCAATGAAGGATGTAGAACATATTTTAGTAGCCATCATTAATAGCTGGTATAGCTATAGGGTATGCCTGAAATGTCAATTTGAGGTTTTACAAAAACTCCCTGTTAAAATGAAAGCTTAAGGGTTACATGGCTAATTGAACTGGTGAGCATCCTTGGCCATTGGTGCCACTTCAGCATCCTTTCACCATCCTTTCACAAAACTGCAGTTTGTGTTGCATGCCATTCTTCTGCACCCTTCCTCACTTTTTCTCATCCCACTATCAAGGAATCTATCTTCTAATAACTTTATCCATTTGGGGAAACCTTTAGTTCTGTATTGGCAACAATTCAGCATGTACCAGGTGTTTGTATACTCCAAGAACGTTTGTCTAGATGATCCACCATCTTGCTCAGTGCAACATGTAGCTCTATACCCACACTGCTCAATTACAATGTTTGTGTGTTTATGAATCTGTGAATTTTGTGTGTTCATTTTGCCTGTAATAAAAGCAGTGAGTTATATTGTGTAGCATGAAACCATATTTCCTTTTTCCTTTTCAAATTTAAAAAACATTCTCGGACAAAAATTCAGTTTCCAAAAGCTTCACAAACAATTCATTTTCATTTCAAATCTCTGTTGGAGATGTTTAAGTTGACATGGCTGAGAAAACCAAAGTGTGGCAACACATCTTGAACTCACTGACGCCATCCTAACATCTATGACTTCATAACCATGGTAAAGAGAGAGAGTTTTACGCCGCTTGTAGCAATATTCCAGCAACATTACCACTGGGGACACCAGAAATGGGCTTCACACATAGTGCCCATGCATGTGGGGAATCGAACCCGGGTCTTCAACGGGCGAACACCCTTACCACTGGGCTACCCCACCGAGAGAGAGAACGATCAAGCAGCAAAATAACAATTGCTCAAGTGTTAGAGTGAACCATATGGGCAAAGGTTGCTGTCTAGGTGGAAAAAACCCCCACTTTGTATGAAGAGTGTAATCTATCAACCTCTTAGTGATAAACTTACAAACACAATCTTTTGACTGCAGTGTGAGAAGCTGTAATGCTACTATTCAGACTGACATTTTTATCTTTACATCCCTATTTGATAACTACAGAATCTCACACTGTCTACTGATATCAATCATATCAACACAAGTTGATAAAGTTAAAAATATCTGAGGCTTGCCAAGGATATTTTTACTTTTATCAACGATTGTTGACATATTTGATATCAGAGGACACAAGGGTGAGATTCTATTAATCATAAAAAATCACTCTTCACTCAATAAGTTTTCAATGAAAAATGTACATCTCTGAACACGGTAATGCCATTAGACTTGCAGTGCAGCGATGTCATAGCATTGTGACGTCATCAGGTTTTTGATGTCACAGCATTGTGACTCATGTAATTGATGACGTCAGGGCAATTTGTACAAAATCTACTGTCAAAACGATATCTCCTAGGAGATATTGTTTGATCTCACGCAAGCAATATGTCCAGTGGAACACAGTTTGGGATCATAAATTAGTCGACTCCGCTGTTTTGAGATTGTTAATATTTAGGTACTAATCTGTCGAATATGCTAGAATATACAATGCTGTTTAGTCCACCACTATATTCTTATTCTTAACACTACCTTGGACTGAAGGGGACAGACCCCTGTGGGTATTTTAACATAAATCATACATTCAAGCCACAGGTGAAATAGTGGTTTGAGGGCTACCTGAATGTGTGAGGGTACAGATAGTGTCACAAGTGACACTCACCACCTCTGGTGACACACTTCGGTTCCTTTGATGATAAGTAGATATCACCGTCATATGAAGCTACTTAAAATACATCATGACAAAAATGGCATTTTCATGTTACTCTTCAGATATGATGAATGCTGTGTGTATCTAAGCCACTAAATACAAACTACCACATATTAGTGACATGACTGCCTTAAGTGCTGTCCAAAATGTGGAGCCTGTCTGTTAAAGTAGTATTGTATTTGTTAGAATACCGTCAACTGCATCATACATATCTGCCACTTGCAGACAATATCTATCATATTGAAATGCTGTGATTTAACAGTCAAAAAGTGATGTCATATAATATGACATCACTTTTCGACTGTTAAATCACACCACAGGAATATTACACTATGACATAGCACAGGAACATCACAGTATCATATCACTTTTCAGCTGTGACATCATCTCACAGGAACATCACAGTATCATATCACTTTTCAGCTGTGACATCATAGCACAGGAACATAGGAATATGATATTCCTATATTCCTATGCTATGATGTCACAGTCGAAAAGTGATGACACAATCTAATGTTCCTGTGCTGTGATGTAACAGTCGAAAAGTGATGTCACATTCTAATGTTACTGTGAGATGACGTCACAGTCACAAAGTGATGTCACATTGTAATTTTACTGTGAGATGACGTCACAGTCAAAAAGTGATGTCACATTGCAATGTTTACATACTATGATGTCACAGTCGAAAAGTGATGTCACATTCTAATGTTACTGTGAGATGATGTCCCAGTCAAAAAGTGATGTCATATTGTTATGTTCCTGTGCTATGATGTCACAGTTGAAAAGTGATGTCACATTCTAATGTTACTGTGAGATGATGTCCCAGTCAAACAGTGATGTCACATTGCAATGTTCCTGTACTATGATGTCACAGTCGAAAAGTGATGTCACATTCTAATGTTACTGTGAGATGATGTCCCAGTCAAAAAGTGATGTCATATTGTATGTTCCTGTACTATGATGTCACAGTTGAAAAGTGATGTCACATTCTTATGTTCCTGTGCTGTAACAGTCGAAAAGTGATGTCACATTCTAATGTTACTGTGAGATGATGACAGTCAAAATGTGATGTCATATTGTAATGTTCCTATACTATGATGTCACAGTTGAAAAGTGATGTCGCATTGTAATACTACTGTGAAATAATGTCACAGTCGAAAACCGATGTCATATTGTTATGTTCCTGTGAGATGATGTCACAGTTGAAAAGTGATGTCACATTGTAACATTACTGTGAGATTATGTCACAGTCGAAAAGTGATATCATATTGCAATGTGACCGTGCTATAATATCACAGATATGCATTGTTGCAGTGTTAGTGTGCCAAGATATAATTTTCAAAAAGCAATTTGTAACATATGTAAGTAAAAAAAACTGGTGATTTTGAACCACGATATATCAATGATCAAAGATAATAGGTGACAACTGCTGAAGGGCTCCAGATAATTTTTCAACATCAGGAGTACGTACTCCTTATTTTTTCAATACAGGAGTACTGGAAAACCTTATAGAGTACTGAACAGAATTTAATGGAGTATCAGTAATCTTGTGTTTCGTTTCATATATGCACCACAACATTGCTACTCTTGTGTAAACAGGTAAACACACAATAAAACAATACTTTTTCAGATGAATACGTCTGTAAATGAATCTAAGACCGTACACCATTGCTGTGGTGCGTATCTGCTACGTTTTCTAAATTATTTCCTACCGTATCGTACATATTTTATATCCGTATATACGCCAATACAGCCCTTATCTGGAGCCCTGGTGAGTATAGCTTTCTGTGCTCGCCACACTACCCGCTATCCTAAATGTGGACAGGACAATCCAGTCACAGTGGTCCATGCCATCAGGGTACGACAGCACACTATCAACCAAATCTGACCACCCAATTCATTAGTTCAGTTCTTACTTGGAATCCCACAGGTTAGGTGGGTTAAGTGGTTGATAGCATGAACAACGATGACTCATGAGCAAAGGAAATTTGTAATAAGATACTTCCCTTAAAGGGGTTGCTATTATGGGGCCTGTTGAACTATAGCCTCTGTTGGGGTAACAAGTACACCAGTGACAGATTGGCCTCTTACAAGTACACAGCAATGCTAAGCGCTGGACAGGCCTGTGAAGGAGATGGCCAAATTGACAGTTGATCACAATACTCAGATTTAGATTGTGTAAAGGACCCAAATTACGCTGATCTCTACCCCAGTTAATAACATATGGAGTTGCATGTACTTTTCCATACAATTTCTGAACTTTTATGACATACAATGTTTTATGAGACAAGATACAATGTAGCATTCACCGGGTTTTGTACAATTTGAGATTTCTGGTGTCCCCCACTAATGCCTAAAAAAACCTCAGTCAGTCAGTCAAGATCAACTTACAGTTACCCTAAATTCAACAAAAGGGATTATTAAAACTTTTTTTTTTTCAATTTTATCACATTTATTCTAATTTCAACCTCACTAACTTCTTGTACTTAGGTGTACTGACCATGGAAATCTATACAAGATTGAAGAATACATATGAATTAACCTCATATTACAAAATCTTGACAAAAAGCCTGCATGAAATTGCAAGTCAAAGTGGCAATGATAAGTTTTTGATGAGGTTATCACCTGTTCACCCACGAAACTATACCATTAAATGACTGATGTCATTACTGGCGTCTTTGTTTTTAATAGACAGAAAAATGTTTAACAGCCATCTTAAATCAAACGCGTGGTCCAAAGCTAACTGCTGACTTGATATGATGAACGTTTTTTAAACATGAAACCTTTCTATGCGTCAGTAATACCTACACATCTATCCCATAATCCCATAAACGTTTCTATTAAGACTTCAAATACCTCAGTGTCATGTCAACAGAAATTCTGTTTGAACAATTTTTTCAATTATTATCCTAATAGATTTACTGCGAATACTTCATGGCGACAGGTGTGTCAGTGCAGCTCACAGTTTACAGCCTGATAACAA